TTTACAAGTCACATTACTTAAATTACTAGTCCTCTTATAATTTTTCACCTATTTTTTTATAAGACCATTAAGATTTGGATAAGGCATCTAACACTTCATCATACATTGAATCCACAACATATTGAACACTTATATTAGCACTAAGATCGGGGATAACATTTTCTTCTTGCTCGTTAAGTTTGCTAATGCTGATTTTAATCAGACGATGACCTCGTTTATCTTTATCTCGGCGGATAATGTATGATAATGATGATGATTCTTGGGAACGGTTGCTCTTCCTGTAACATTTCTTTGATTTCGATTGCCACTCTTCATTAATAGCTATTTTATTTGGTGGTAAATCGTGAAGATGCTCCTTTCGGTTGTAATAATTTAGTATAAATTTATCCACATCCTGTGCATAGTAATATGGATTAGTGATAGGATTAGAAATATTGTGTTCCTCAGTGTTGGCCATGATTTGCAATTAACAAAAACAAGTATGAAATCAAAAAAATAAAACAATTATGAAACAATTGAGGGAGGGCGGGAGGCGCTCTTCAATCCAGGTAAGATCATTGTATTTAGTTAGCGGATGGTTGCAAATTAATTAATATATTTATTATAATGGATTTCCGCAAGGTAACGCCTGATTCTATCAATTACATTAGCATAAGCCTAGCTTCGCACACATGACCATAAACAGAAGAAATTATAGATGTTTTACATTAACACGATAGATTTTGCTAATGAGGTAATGATAATTGTAGTCGGGCAAGTAATAATACTTTTAGTAGCTAACACTATATAAGGTATAACTATCCAAAAAAAAACGTTTATTAGCACAAACCACAATGAAGTTAGGCTAAACAAGTTGTATTATTAGAAATTAATCAAATACATGCGGCAATACCAGCAGTATCTCGCAAACGCTCTGAAGATAATGTTCAATAACTCAACTGGAAGTGGAAGTACACTTGTTCCCGCAAGATAGAACTGTGAGTATGTAGACGTTAATCTGGTTAAACTAAAAATGTTGTACCTCTACTGGAGAGCATTGAAGTCTTCACCGGCATGTAGCTCGAGCGATGTGAGAGCAAGTGACGCAGAAGCCCCAATTCACACCTACTAATATAATAATATTACTCATAAGGCCGGCACCATACATTCGGCATTCCGATTCGGGATTCCAAACTCAGTAAATCCCTATAAAATCAATTTAATAATATTAATTTCTTCTTTCAATGGAAAGCTGTATCAAGCATATAAATGATCTTTTAATTATAGAATACATATATAATAGTATGTAAATAGTAATTATTAGAAGCATAATATTATTAATTTTTATCACAAATATAAGAAACTTCTTACGTCTCCCATCTACAAAACGTCTAAAGCATGTGGACACTCTTGCCTCTATTAGCAAATACCAAAAACTTATTCAGGACAATTTGGAATAAACGTGAAACATATTATAAAGTGTAACGTTACAGATGACACTGACTCCGCTGTACAATTGTTACTGCTAGTTAAACCAATATTTCATACTTTCTGTCAACAGACTTTTTTTGACCATCATATAAAAATTGCATTGTATATATGTAAGCCTACTCATTGTTGTTTTGTATCGTGCATGACATTGGCGGGACGTACAGTAAGATGGACCATGAATAAGGTGCTTTAGGGCTGAAGAGCCAACAGCATACAATTTCAGAAAAAAAATATGCTACATTATTATATATGTGTGCTTCAAGAAGCTTTTATGCACTTTTAACACTAACCTCTATATAAACTTATAGAGGTCAGACTTTTAGGCTTCTTATGGAGCACCATAATTTTAGTGTTTTACCTATGATGTGGATATGGGATTTTGATTAATCTGTAGTTAATTTTGGTTAATGAGTTTTGGCGGGAACTTGGCCGGACGGATTGTCGCTCCTGTTTTGTCGCTTGAATACTGGTTTGAAGTGGATTTTGATTTGTAAAAGTGATGCGGTTTTTTGTATTAAGTGTCCGCGCGTGTGAACTATTAGAGAAAACTACGAATCAAGTGCTTTGATGTCGATATAGTTATTATATATAAAAGTTATTTTGATCGCTTGGATACCTTATGAGCTTGAGTGGCTGTCGTCATCAACTGTCTGCTGGGTTGAGCTGTCGTCTAAATCTCCCAAGGGCTTCGCAATGTGACGCATCAGCATATTGTGATGAAACAGGATATAAAAATGAAGATATAGAAAGAAATGATAGATTCGGAAGGGCTAGAACCCAGAGCCGTAAAACAGTTAATAAAAAAATTTGGTTAATCTGTGATTCTGTGATCTACACAGAAAAAAAAAAGTGAGTTGTGGTTAAACTCAGATTTCATAAAATAAATATGTAGCAAGTTAATTGTGAATTGTATTCAGAGTCAAACGTTTAATCGTATGTTACAACGTATTTTCTGCGTAATACATTTACTATTCTATTTTTTAGCTAAATATAAAAAATATTTACTGAACTATGGCGCGAGACAGAAGCCCAGAGCGACGGCGGTCTCGTTCTAGAGAAAGACGTGAAAGAGAACGACACGACGATCGCGAGTCTCACCGAGATAAAACTAAACGTCGCGAACGATCAAGAAGTCCTCGAAAAGAAAGAGATAGATCTAGAAGTCCAGCAAGAAAGGAAAGTGATCGGTCGAAAAGTCCTCGTAAAGATCGCGACAGATCCAAGAGTCCATCACGAAAAGAACGCGGACGTTCCAGAAGTCCTAAGAAACGAGAGGGTAAGGACAAACGTACCGATGATAAAGATAAAGGCAAGAGTAAAAAAGAAGAAGACAAAAAAGAAAATGAAGAAAAACAAGAAGAAGAACAGAAACCAATAAAAAAAGAGCCTCTATCACTAGAGGAACTTCTTGCAAAAAAGAAGGCTGAAGAAGAAGCCCGAAGTAAACCTGTTTTCTTAACAAAAGAGCAGAGAGCTGCTCTAGCCTTGGAAAGGCGACGTGAACAAGTAGAAGCAATGAGAGCAAATGTTGAAAAGCCCACTATTGCCACTATTGATCTTACAGGATCTTCTAAGAAGGATGATGAAAGAAAATATAGAGAAGATAGAGAAAAAGAACGAGAAAGAGAAAGAGAACGTAAATATGAAGAAAGAAAGAATGCTTCAGATAGAAGAGATGATAAGAAGGATAAAAATGAAGATTTATCTAAAAGTAAAGATAAGGAAAGAGAAGAGGAAGCTATTAAAGCTCGCTATTTAGGAATTGTTAAAAAGAAACGTAGAGTCAGAAGGTTAAACGACAGAAAATTTGTTTTTGATTGGGATGCATCTGAGGACACATCAAATGATTATAATGTTTTATATAAAGAGAGACATCAAGTACAATTCTTTGGTCGGGGACATATTGCTGGCATTGATATTAAAGCTCAGAAGAAAGATCATAGTAAATTCTATGGAAATCTTTTAGAGAAACGTAGAACTGAACTAGAGAAAGAACAGGAAAAGTTAAGGTTAAAGAAAGTTAAAAGGAAGGAAGACAAACAAAAATGGGATGATAGACATTGGTCTGAAAAAGATCAGGATGAAATGACTGAGAGGGATTGGCGAATCTTCAGAGAAGATTACAATATTACTATAAAAGGAGGAAAAATACCTAATCCAATTAGGTCATGGAAAGAAGCAGGGTTTCATCAGGATATAATGGAAATTATTAACAAAGTTGGGTATAAAAGCCCTACACCTATCCAACGACAAGCTATTCCTATAGGATTACAAAATCGTGACATCATAGGTGTTGCTGAAACAGGTTCAGGCAAAACTCTCGCATTTCTCATTCCTCTGCTTACATGGATACAGTCATTGCCAAAGAATGAGCGTATGGAAGATGCTGATCAAGGACCTTATGCTATTATTCTAGCACCCACAAGAGAGTTGGCACAACAGATAGAAGAAGAAACTAATAAGTTTGGTATACCCCTTGGTATTACATCAGTGGTAGTAGTTGGAGGTCTATCCAGAGAGGATCAAGGGTTCAAACTAAGGTTGGGTTGTGAAATAGTTATTGCCACACCAGGTCGTCTTATAGATGTGTTGGAGAATAGGTACTTAGTATTAAACCGTTGTACTTATGTCGTTCTTGATGAAGCTGATCGTATGATTGACATGGGTTTTGAGCCAGATGTGCAGAAAATTTTAGAGTATATGCCTGTATCTAATATCAAACCTGATACAGATGCAGCTGAAGATGCTGCAGTTTTGCTGGCTAATTACAATACTAAAAAAAAGTACAGGCAAACTGTCATGTTTACTGCAACTATGCCCCCAGCTGTAGAACGCTTAGCAAGAAGCTATCTTAGAAGGCCAGCTATAGTCTACATTGGATCAGTGGGCAAGCCAGTTGACAGAACTGAACAAGTAGTATACATGATAGGTGAGAATGAAAAGCGAAGAAAGTTAACAGAGATACTCCAGCGTGGAGTTGAACCTCCAATTATTATATTTGTCAACCAGAAGAAAGGTGCAGATGTGCTTGCCAAAGGTTTGGAAAAGCTGGGCTTCAACGCATGTACTTTGCATGGTGGCAAAGGTCAAGAGCAGCGTGATTTTGCTTTGGCTAGTCTTAAAAATGGTTCAAAAGATATATTGGTTGCTACGGATGTCGCTGGGCGAGGTATAGATATTAAAGATGTCAGTATTGTCATAAATTATGATATGGCAAAATCAATTGAAGATTATACACATCGTATTGGTCGTACTGGTCGTGCAGGAAAAACTGGTAAAGCAATCTCTTTTGTGACCAAGGAAGACTCTGCAGTGTTCTATGATCTAAAACAAGTATTGCTTAGTAGCTCCGTTTCCACATGTCCTCCAGAACTCATGAATCATCCTGAAGCTCAACACAAACCAGGAACAGTAGTCACTAAAAAACGACGTGAGGAAATGATTTTTGCATAAATTTTGTCATTTGGATGAAATGAAACTGCCAATATTCAAATAAATGATTTAATTTAGCTTTTTTATTTATTATTACACTAACATAATATTGTAATAAATAAGAGGTCTTCAAAACATTCTACTTCACATTTCTCTGATGCAATGCTCCTGAAAAAAAATATTTGGGTGTTAATTTAACAGATGTTTAACATTAGTACGATATAGAATAAAATAATTTTTATTCAATATATAATAAAAGTAATTAATGAAATCAATTTATTATTATATTAACACAAGCATGCACATTGCACAAGCACTCATACATTTAAGTACATAAATATATTTGATGACATGTGAATGATATCAATTCAGGTGTTTAAAATAATGTATAACACTAAAACTAAAGTATTTGTGGTGCACATTTGTATCTTCTTTTTAAAAATAAAGATGGTTTTTTAAAGAATTTGTTAAGTTCCTAGCTGGAACCAGGATTTATATATGTATCAATAAAAATATAGTTGAATTTAAAACATTTCAGAATTTAGTGTACTGTACAGCAGTTTTCAGCTAAACTCAACGTAGCTAAAATTTAAATAGCTGTACAAGATGATGAGCCCTGCAATTTTTGCTCACTGACTTCGTTTTCTAATCTTTGTTCCCATTTTGATTTATTATATTTCTTTTGTTTGTCCATTCCCAACGAGTTATCAACTTGTACAGCTATTTCAATTTTAGCTCCATTGTGTTTAGCTGAAGTTCATGCTGCACATTACATTAAATTCTGAAATGTTTTAAATTCAATGTCGCTGTTGATGTATTGCGGCAATAAAATATTATTTAAATAGGTGACTATTTTACTCAATTTTTTTGATGACCTGCTTTGGTATAAATTATCTTTCTGTTGGGTTTGTATTAGCAAAATATTCTAAAGTTTTAACAAAGATTTCATCTATGGCAATTATCTTTTCTCTATGTAAATTTTCATTTTCATTTGTTGTGTGGTTTTCAGCATTTAAATCTTAACATTCTGTATCTGGTTCTTCATTGTCTGTGATACCTATCTGTAGTATTAAGTTACCATTGGCTTTTATATTGTTATGTTGTTCTTGCAAGTCATTCTTAATTAACTCTAAGCAGTCAACACTTAAAAATTTCTTCTGTAGAATTAATCGTCTTTGGTTAGCTAACCGCTGCTCTGTGAAATGACTTTAATGAGGGAATCGATTTATAAACTCATGGTGTAAGAGTTTCCTTATATGCTATTTTATTTTTCTTACACTGAGTTATTTTATAGTAAATTCTTATTATAGCTTCATTATATTCATCTGTCCATTTAATTCGTTGTTGTGTTTGTACAGGGTAGGTAATTAGTGTGTTGATTGATTTGTGTAACAGAAATTGATTGGGCACATGTAGTCCGTAAGTTTGATTGCACTTCATTATAAATTTGCTTTACTATTTTTTGGGACAAAAGTTTATTATTTATTCATTATTGCTCTTCGCTGATCTCCTATTCTTTGACGATTAACTTGCATATGTGGGAATCGTTCTATAAATTTCATGTGTAATGGTTGTTAATTGTTAAATAGAGGTAAGTCCAAGTTCTATAACAGAAGTTATTTTCTGTGCATCATCCTTCAGCAATTGGCTACTTGATGATAATAAAGAAGCCCATCGTCTATGGGGGTATATAAACTATCACTATCACTAAGGGTATTGGTGTCCGTGGATCTCGCTCAAGTCTTTTGACGGGAAATCTTCCTCGCCCGGAGATTGTATGCGACTCAAGATTCAGTACCATCTCGGGTTCCGCCAGAGTCGACATGGTTACTGGATGTGCCGGGGGCTAGGGGCCGTAGTTTACGTCGTGTACTCATATTTTCTTTAAGACTGGTTTGGGATCGTTAGTTGAGAAAGGGTCATTAAACATTAATAGACAGAAAGACTATCCTGCCTTGTTATTGTTACACAGTATAGTTGTTTCAACTGCATTTAAGTACCATGCCTTTCCCTTAAGCCCTCCACCACGACAAGGTGATCCTATAGGTGGGTTATTTATTATCATTATTAAACCAATAATAGAAAAATTTACTATTTGTAATACTTTATTATAAAATCTAAGCAAAAAATAAAAACCTGTTCGGCGGACAAACGCCAATGGGTTAATTAACTTATCGATAGCTAAAGTTGTGGCGTACATCACTACATTGCAGTTCTTTCGGTTGCAGTGATACCAGTTAATTTAACAAAAATTGCATACATTTGCTACGATGTGGCAAGTTACGATTCGACTTATTGGGCCTTATTTTTGTATAATATTTTGATATAAGACTAGTTATCGATTATATTAAATTATAATGCCATCAAAAACATAACTTGTAAAAAACCAAGTCTCGCAACTCAGTTCTTCTACCGTCAAAAGTTTTGAGATCTATGTAATACCCAAGTCGGTTAATTTATTCAGTTCCTAGTTAAGAGTCCTTCTGTTTTAAGTTATTACGTAATTAGCTAACCTAACAATTTATAGTGACCATATCATCATAGTTCATTCATGGTTCATTAGTGGCATCATTTCATCATTCATGGTTTTTTTTACAAGTTATGTTTTTGATGGCATCTCATTTCTTTTTGTAGATAAGATAGTCCTACATTTTTACCTTTCCGGTACCTTCTACTTCTTGAATACCAACAACGTACCTATCTACACCTGTTATACATATACAAGTACACTGATTCATTCACTGCAAATGTAACTTTGTAATTCTATATATTTGTATAGGATTACAAAGTTATTTATGCAGTTGGTGTATCTAGCAAACTGGATCGTAATTAACAAATATTTTAGATTTTCCTTGATTTATGCACTAAACACTACTTGTATTCTAAATTTGAAGCTTCTATGTCTGCTAGAAGTGCCTTAGAGTTTTGATGATCGGTCAGTCAGTGAGTGACAAAATTAAGAAACTTTGACTAGTTATAATTCTTAAACTACTAGTTCAAATTGAATGAAATTTGAAATATACCATGTTTATACAATGCCTACTCGGTTACTGAAAATTCAGGCTTCTAGTTTTATTGACTACGAAGTTATAGGGGGTCGAAAATGGCCTGAATTGCTTCGAGAAAAGTATGGTACGGCCGTGCCGCTTTTTTGCTCGACTTGGCGGGGGCACTGCCGTGCCCCCAGATATATTCAGAATCGTGTTGGGATTGAGCTGAATATTATTTAAATATTCAGCTCAATCCCAACTGAAGTTGCAAGAAAATTATAACTTATATAGTTAAATTATTGACATGATGTATGTATAAAGAAATGTTTAACGTTTTTTTAACTGAACCAGTCATACAAAGAATATGGTAACATTTATGGATGTACGTGTGTGCGTGCCAAAGCCAAAACGAAAGATCAAAAAAATGACACAAAAAACTAAAGCAAGAATGCCACCATGCAACACATGCTTATAACCAACTTTGTTTGCATTGATACCTATTCTTTACTCTCCAGTGGTTTATTGTCAACTGCGTCTTTTGATGGTGGAGGCAATATTGCCTGCTTGGCAGACTCGGCAATTGAAACTGTCAAATCGACTAACTCAGAGACATTCTTAGGCAAGGACAGTTCGGGGAACTTTACCTCAAGTTGTGGGTCACCGGGTTTCACTGACAATAGTAATTAAAATACATTAGAAAATCTATATGATCATATTCTAGTTAATAAAATCTAGCGTTGCTTTGCCGAAAAACATTATATTAAAGTGTGCTAAGAATTACTTCGCCCACATCCGTTCATCGAAATAAAATGATGTGACTTACTTAGTTTGAAGAGCACCTCCCTCCCTTCCTCAATTGCGTGCACTAATCTCGTTACCACTAATACCAGGACCACTACTCCCAACACCACTACATTGCGCTGCGATAATATAGGTGAGCGGCGAGCGGACTAATAGGTCAGCCACGGCAGAGTCTACATCACCTGAGGATGTCTCGTGTAGAGGCGAAACACGTGTCGTATTATCGTCGATGGTGTGTCTTTCCAAATGTAGTGGTTGGTCTTGGTATTAATGGTGACGGGAATAGTGCACGCAATTGAGGGAGGCGGGAGATGCTCTACAAATTAGGTAAGACACATCATTTTATTTTATTGGGTAGATGTTGTGGGCGAACTAATTCTTACCAACTTTAATATAATGGATTTCCGCAAAGTAATGCCTGTCTCTATTAATTATATAAAGACTGGCTTTTTATGAGAAAGAACTCTTACCACCATACAAGAAGTTGTAAGCAATATTAATATACTGTTTGGCTAAAGCCCCATTTCTCTTTGCTATTTCTTTTGTCTCTTCAGGGAAGCATATACCGCCCATTGCCATGGTGCCAATACCGGCATAAAATACTCTCTGGAAATAATAATAACACATTATTTCTTAGCAATAATTTCAAAAACCTAGAACCGGTAATCACTATTGTTAATAATTATTTTATCTAAATCTGTACATTAACTTAAGTGTTAACAAACAATGCAGAATTCTGGGGTTTTGTGAAATGGTCACAGAAAAACTCATCCACAGGAAAATAACTGCAATATTAAGTTATTTTAAACATTAATATTTATTCTGGTTTCTGAGTATTGTTTGAATTATATCTTCGAGCTTTTTTTAAGTTATAGAATAAGTTTTACAAACGAGCACACAGTCCACCTGATGTTAAATGGAAGCTGTGACCCAAAGACATCCTCGATTAAGAATCAAAATGTAGATTCGTCGTCACCCCTGAGGACGAAGATGGAATGCCTCGTTTTCAGTAAAAAAGGGTCTCCGGTTCTCTACACTCACCATAAGAAACACAACAGCCTTTAGCTGCTATTTCACGCTGGTATACTGTGAGAGCGAGCGTGAGCCGACCCATTTGTGCTACAACTAATATATCTGCAGCATGGCTCTACCTCGTAAAAAAGTTCCTATCTTTAATGTAAATTCCGACAAAGGGTTAAAAATAGGGTAACTGCTACTTTTACTTGGCAACTTCTACTCATAAGTATTTATCAATAAGAGTATATGACAAAATGAAATGAGTAGCTGTCCTCTATATTTACTCACCCTAATAATGCCTCCTCTAAGGCCAAATATAAATCCTGTAAGTCCTCCCATAGCAACAGCTCCATATCGAATTTCCTTGTTATCTTCCTCTCTTAGGTACTGGACAATCCCTATAGAAATGCAACAAGATCTTATTATTTAAATTCTAAGCAGCAATATAGAGGATTACCAACAAAATTTAAACCAACATTCAGTTCTGTCCCGAAGCTCATGATAATTGTCTTGAACAGTATGTAAAAGCGATTCAGTGTGAGCTATGCCAATTTCGGCTATCTCTCGTACTGCTTGAACTTGTGGATGTATTACTGATCTTAGGTAGCTATTTTTCTCAGCCTTTGCTTTTGATTTTATGTATCTGTAAATTAAGAAACCTTGTTTTAATTTCCTGTATTCAAATATAACCTATGAGACAATAGGCATATTGGACAAATTCCTCTACTATACAGTTACCGTTACAGCCTATTAAAGTTTACTGCTGAACATAGGTCTCCCCCATAGTCATAGGGGGGGGGGGGATATTTTCCATATTTGCCCTGCATACCTGATATGCGACAGTTTTTTATTTTAGTCATTATAAGAAAGATGCCGTTGCCCATTTCCTGATTTTATTCCCTCTGTCACCTTTTACGACACCCATGTGATGTTATGGGGGACAAATACCATAACAGATCAATCGCTTCTAACAGTATCACCACTAACTATAATGGAGGCCATATTAATAGATAGCTACCGTGAGGCATTTTCACAATTCACTTCACCATGTTGTGTTGATGACAAACAACAATGGTGGTGCAATGAACTAGATTGTAGATGTAAGAAGATGAAAAAAGCTTTGAATAGGGCCATAAATACCACCACAGAAAACAGTTGCTTCGCTTAGTAACCCACCTTATTAACCCCATTACCCATCTTATTACAGATGCAACTGCGATAGCTACCATGAATCATGTCCAGTAATCACTCCACCAAAATATGCTGAAAAAAGCAACCATGGTGGGGTAAAGAACTAGACAGAAAACGTAAGGAGGTAAGAAAAGCCTTAAATGGGGCAATGAATACCTCAAAGGATGAAGAATGGCTACTATATAAGAAGGCTAAGTCTGAATACAAAAAATATATCAGGTATCGAAGCTCAAAAGGGTGCTGCAAATTCTGTGGTAGCACAGAAACCTGTGAACAAGCGAATTGGATAAGGAAAATCCTAGCTAAACAGAACACGCCGGGATCAATCTCTCTAAAGAAACCCGACGGAAGCTACTCAACATCGCCAGATGAAACCAACGCATCCTAATTGATACTCACTTCCCAGGTTGCTGTGTAGTTGAAAGGGTAAACCGGCATGAAGATGCATTGACACCAACAAAAGAATACTGGGATTTAGCACAAAGAGTGGTGATGATGGACAAAATCAATTGGGCCATTCACAGTTTCCTTCCCTATAAGGCAGCAAGTCCTGATGGCATATTCCCCGCACTTTTACAATGGGGTGATAAAGCCCTAATAGTCAGACTTGTTCTGGCTCTTAAATATGTTCCTAGGGGATGGAGGGAAGTGAAAGTCACGTTCATACCCAAACCAGGTAAGAGCGACTATACAGACCCCAAATCCTACAGACCCATTAGCCTCACATTATTTCTCCTAAAGACAATGGAGAAGAGGTGAGAGGGTCGGCGCTAATTAACTTACAGCTACACGAAAAACAACACACCTATAGCTTAGGTAAATCAACTGAATCGGCACTTCACCATGTAATAACAAAGATTGAAGAGGCTATCCAATACATTGTTTTATTGCTGTTTGTAAAGTAGGGTGGATATGATTTGATTTTCGATAGATTTTAATTGATTTATTTATTTAATTCAAATTTTTTGCTTTTATTGTTTGTAAAATATCAGTGCCATAGACTTCTACTCTGTACATCTGTTACACCCTTTTTTTCAGATGGTTAAAATATTCATCGAGTATATATATATATTATGTATGTGTGATATATATTGTATATCATACAGATAGTAGAGTATAGTGATATATTACTTTTTTTAAATAAAATATGATTTGATGTAGATAAATTACAATAAAACTAATATATTAATTTCCTTAATTTTTTGTCTGAGACTCTTTGGGTTATAGGTCATAGATTTCTATTATGGCCCTGTCATGCAAAACAAATTATATCACAATGTCGGTCTTCTCATACTTATTTAAAGTGTAATACTAATGCATTACCCTTAATTTTAATTACAAAGTAAATAAATAAGAATATTTAAGTTTTATAAAACCACACTTTTCCTTGCTTTATGCTTGTTCAAATGAGCATGATTATTAAAGAAAATTGTAATTTAGTTTCTTGAAAACTGTGAGTTTCTGAGCACTAAAACTTTATATAATATGGAGGTTAGAAAAATTGATTTTTCAAACAGTAGTCAATAGTCATCCGAAATTACTAACCTTGGTACTAACTTTATCAAACATATAAAAAACTAAAAAAATATTGCCTTATTGGTTTTAAGACTAGATACATACTCGCCATATTCAGCATGTGGTGCCTCGTATATTGGCAGCTCAGAGAGTCTCATTAGCGGTGGTTTTAAAGGTTCTTTCGAACTCTCCTGAACAGGAGTCGCAGCGCTGATCGTTGGTATCAACGCGATCACTCCAGATCCCAAAGCCACTTTTCGAAGCATTTTTTAATAACTTATTAGTAACTTGACGTTGTAGATCAACTAATTAAGTTTCGTATGTCAGATCGATAAAAATATTTAAATATTACTGAAAAATAGTATAACTTTCGGTGATCAGCTGCTCAATTTGACACATTGCGTCAAAAATTATGTAATTTGCATATTTTTTATTTAACTAGCTTTACGGCTCTGGGTTTTAGCCCTTCTGAGCCTATCATTTCTTTCAGAATCTTCGTTTTTATATATTTTTTCTTTACAAAATATGTTGATGCGTCACATTGCGAAATTTTTGGGAGATTTCGACGACAACTCAACCCAGCGGATAGTTGATGACGACAGCTAAACAAGTTCATAAGGCGCCCAAGCGATCTATGGTTCATAAAAGATAGCTTGATCTCTGCGACAGCTGTCAGTAAATCACGCCTATAAAGTCCTGTATTTCTTAGTAGTACAGAGCACTGACTTAGAAGTATATGGACTGGGCATACCTACAAAATTAGCGTGACTACCTACAAAAATCTGGCGCATAAAATGGCCGCCTTTTATAGGGTTGTAACTCTGCAATATGCGCAGCTGATATCGATATTTTAACTAATATGAATTTTTTTCTCATTTTATAAAATTAGATTTGTTGCTTAATTTTCTTTATTCCGTAGGTATTTACATAGATACAGGGCTAAATTTTCAATCGTCAAATAACTAATCTGGCGAATAAATGTGACTGATTTATGGCTTTTGTGTAGATAGAAATTAAATCCTTCTTTTGTGTTGAAAGTATTACTGGGATGGTGATCCCAGATCCCATATTATTATTGTAAAATAATAATGATTCGTTGAGTAAAAATGAAATACGTATTAAAAATCAATACTTATTTATTATTAATTTTTCTGCACATAATTCATCACAAATAGTAAGTTATACAAGCAAGTTGTATATCATATTTTATTTATTCATTCGGATTTTAAATGAAAAATATTATCAAATTTCGAAAAATTCGAAAATCTGGCATGTTCACGAAATATGATATGCAGGATAACATCCTGGATATTATATTTCATCCACCGTTTCATGATCATGATAGATTTTTATATAAACTATTATTATTATTATTTGTTCATTTCAGAACAAAATTATTTTTAATATAATGCACTACGCAACAAAAAACTTTTAGCATTCAACAGTTTGACAGCAGATCTACCACAAAACTCAGCGCTTAAAATGGCGACGCAGTCACGCATGGATGAGCTAATGACGTCACACGAAAGTGTTGTCAAAATAAGCAATTGACAAACTGTTGTTGTCTCCCTTTTCATTAGAAAAGCTACTGCTTTGTTAAAAAGAAACAACAGTATTTTTGACAAGTGTGTGTCGATATTATAGATATTTCTATAATTATTATTTCTATAAAAGAATACGCCGCCTCAGTTTATGGGCATGCACTAATTAGGTCGGCATGCCCATAAAGTATGACATTGACAGGTACTGTCTGTACATCGATCACTAATAAAGAACTAGATACACAATCACCTACAAAAGTTCTCTAAAAACTGTCGTCAACTGTTGTGACATAATTCTAGTTGAAATAAATATAAATATTTGTAAATTCAACTTTAAATACATTGCCTATAGTTGTATTCACAAAGATACGTACGAAAAGCAATAAATTTTTATGACTGATACTGGCTGGTCAACCTATATCAAAACAAATTCAACCTTACACGCGTGTTTTAAAGTCAGAATTACAAAGTGCTAATAAAAAGCAATCAAACTTTACGACCGAGGTTCGTAGCTTGGACAAGGAATCACTGGAGTCGAACTGCCCAATATTTTTTGTTACTGTTATTTTAATTTTGAAATGTTTCAAACTTGTTTTAAAAACTTGTGTACATAAAGCATATTCTATTCTATTCTATGATGTATTATATGTAATGGTTATTATTTACATGAATGTTAATACGTTTTTGGATAGGACACCGCATTTATTTAGTAACGAAAGTACTTGAAACAGTCATAATTATTTATTTATTCTTCATCTTATGTCAAAAATTTAAAAATATTGCTTGACAAAAACTTAAATCTAAATTCAATAGTTACTAAGTATAAAAAGTATGTGCAGAAAGTTGTAAGTCGTAGTCACATATTCATCACTTTATAAAACATGCTTCGAACATACAACTCTTCCTTGGGTCGGCTTGAACTATATGCACATGTTCAAAATTAAGTCTATAAAATGTTACTATAATATTCAGAGAAACTATAAAGAAGTCTCATTAAACAAAAAAAAAAAAAAAAAAACAATTATACTTTAATAATAAAAAAATAATAAAATCTCCAACAAATGGAACAGAGTCAACGCATATACCTCAAACAGTTATCATTTATTTTATTAAGACTTAATTTAAAAAATATTTTACGGAGATTTCTTGACAAAATATAATTATTTACAATACAGTGATAAAAATTAAATAATGATAATATTAATACGTACCGAAATTAGGAAATTCCACCCCTTTTTATTGTCCTTGACGTGTGATTTTTACACTTTTAAACGAGCACTGAGGCATGTTTACCGTCGGAGCGTTGGAATGTAAAAAGATTAAAAGCGCACCCATTTTTACTGACAGCTGACGCAGAGATCAAGCTATCTTTTATGAACTATAAATACGGTCATCTGATAAAACAATTTCCGTTACAAAATAACTATTACCTTATAAGATTATCCTTAAGCTATTGATCAAGTTAAAGGTCAAATAATGTAATTATTAGTAAAAAAAACGAATAAAACTATTTCAGTTCGTGTTCATTATTTGTAAACTTATGTTAACTACTAATAACAACAAAAACAACTACAATTTTACATCGAAAATGGAATTACTAATTGAAGACATATTGCACTTCTGAAATTTGAGAATATTTATTTTCAGCTGAAAGATTATTCGTATGTTTGTTGATTCGTAATTAAAGTTTTCGGGATCGAGTTATTTCTACCAAATAAACCTTCTAACCTTAAAAGTTTTGACGCTATTTAACTTCGTCATTTTTTTCGAATATTTATTTTTCGGCGACATAAAATTCATGATAATCATCTTTCGCAATTTTTAACATACGGAATTTTAAACTTTCGAATAGTTGGTTATTTCGGACGCCGATTTCTCTGAGATTTTGTCGGTCATAAAACGTCGCTCATGAAGAACGTTGTTTATGAATGATACATAGATGTTTGAAAAAATCTATGTATCGTTTGCATGCCTAGCTCGCGTATCGAATAAGTGCCCTAACTACCCTTAGTATACACTGCCTGGTGATAAACGCATTACGTACCGGGTTCACTCTGATGTCCTAGTTAAGGACCCTTACTGCCTTATTCTTTTTACCTACACCACACTTATTAAGGGCTTAGGAACCCTGATTCAGAGTAGTGTAATAGGGGTATTATACCTCAATTACACTACACTGAACCAAGACCCTGAATTAAGGGTGGACGTAGCCCATAATTCGGGACGTCAGTTATATCTGTGAACGGACTGTACCTAGTACTACTATATTTAACCTAGATATTTATAGCTTGTTACGTATTTATTTATCTATGCTGCCTGTGACTGATGACTGCTGACCATTAGGCGTGTCGCTGCACTTAAATAAAAATCGATCTACGATTCGATTCAAATCAAACATATTAGAATCAATTCCTGATTATATCGAGCATTAAATGATCGATTTTTGATTAACTGTGACATTTTCAAACATGCCTAAAATAGAAACAGAGCATTAGTGGTGATAAATTTGCGTTAATAAAAGAAATTACAAAAACTAGAAGAAGGAGGGAGAGGTTCATCTTTCACGTCGGAACAGAGCGTCGGCATGGTATGATTTTTTGTATGTGGATAGTTCGGTGGGTGTAGAGTGACATAGGTTAGTTTTTTCCGCGGAAAAACATCTCATTCCCGTTCCCGCGGGAAATATTCTATTTGGAATATTAGGAATATTCGTGGGAAAATCGAATTTGTTGCACAAGTTTGTCCTTCTTTCACGTCGCAACAGAGCGTCGGCATGGCATGATTTTTATATGGGGATAGTTCGGTGGCTGTAGAGTGACATAGGCTACTTTTTTCAGCGGAAAAACATATAATTCTCATGGGAAAATCGAATATGTTGCAAAATTAAATTCAGCTAGGTGTCGCCACCGTGATTCTACAAGACGGACGATGGTACGATGGACGAACACAGAAGGTCAGAATATCTGGATTATTATGTTTTTTTACCAAAATTAAGATAAAAAATGTATGGATCTGTATTTTTCCACACAGGACCGGGAAGAGAGCGATAAAAAACATAAAATTCACCAGCTGATTTTCTTCAAACATTTTGGTGCATTGTAATTCACAGAATAGGCGATAACCTCGCAGACGATATTAAGTAATCCGTTGATGCTCTGCCTACCCCGCAAGGGTTACATGCGTGATTATAAGTATGGATCAGAAATACTATCACCACCTGTCATGCTTTCACCCTTAACTATTACTTAACTGTGGTAGAAACAGTTCTTAGTAAGCCTTGTTAATAAGCCTTAGTAATATTTATTGAACGGAAATGAATACAGTTCTTATATGTGGTTATGAATAAATTGTAATAACAATAAGAAAAATTGTGCAAAATTATAAGAAAAATATTATAATATAATATTTATTGAACGGAAATGAATACAGTTCTTATATGTGGTTACGAATGAATCGGTATTACAATAAGAAAAATTGTGCAAAATTATAAGAAAAATATTTTTTCAGAGTTCTTATTAACTAACGTATACATAGTTTAAATTGATTTCGCTAGATGTCGTTACTAGGTTTTTAAAACGCGGTAACGAAATGTTTCCTGACATGTAATTAACGCCCGTCGTTGAGCCGCGCGTCAACTTATATTGCATACGTTACCTATACGCTGAAATTGTTTCTATTTCGTAGCTTATTCGACTACCTGCTTTCGATTTCGGTTGTTTGTTATTTTCTTTGTGATTTGATTAAGGTTGAATGGATTTATATTGGCGCTCATTTTTGGATTTGTGTATTTTCTTGGATCGGTTTTGTTGATTTGGTTGGTATTCTTTTATACATATTTAGACTCTGGCTTTGATTTTGGATTTTGTTTATTTAGAATCGTGAATTGGTTTTCGTTGTTTTAGGTTGTTTAACAATATTTCAAAGGAATCTTACACTTACTTCTTTTTTCGTTGGTTATATTTATATTGACTACTGCTTTCGATTTCAGTTTTCTGCGATTTGTTTTGTGATTTGGTTTAAGTTGATTCGATTTTTTTGGCTATCGTTTTCGGATTCATGTTGTGTATCGAATTGGTTTTGTTGTTTTGATTTTTAAAAATATTTTAAAAAAATATTTAAAAGGAAATTTAATTCCTTTTAGGTATTTTAACGTTTTTTTTATAAATAGATTTTTTGTTACTTCATAATGCCTCGCAAATGTAAGTCCAGCCTTTCAAGAGTATCTTCTCAAAGACAAGTGAAAAGATTAGCTCGATCGCTAGAATCTTTAGAAGATGCTAAACTGAGAAGGCAAGAACAAGCAGAGCGTCAGGCTGCTTATAGAGCATCTGAGACACCTTCTCAACGTCAGCAAAGACGTCTTGAACAGACAGAGCGTCAGGCTGCTTTAAGAGCTTCCGAAACATTTCTCAAAATCAGGAAGGGCGTCTTGAACAAGCAGAGCGTCAAGCTACTTTCAGAGCTTATGAAACACCTTCTCAAAGTCAGCGAAGGCGTCTTGAACAGGCAGATCGTCAAGCTACTTTAAGAGCTACTGAAACACCTTCTCAAAGTCAGCAAAGGCGTCTTGAACAGACAGAGCGTCAATCTACTTTAAGAGTTACTGAAACACCTGCTCAAAGTCAACAAAGGCTATTCGAATAAGCGGAACGTCAGGCCGCCTTAAGAGCCGCGGAAACACCTGATGAAACTCAACACAGACTCATTGAGTAAGCTGAACGTCAATCTACTATAACTGCATCTGAAACACCAGAACAGACACAGGCGCGAAGAGATGCAAATGCACAGCTCCAAACTGAACGTCGACAAAATTTACAAACAAACAATTGGTCGGTTTTTAATGACGCAGCATTCAAATATGATCCGTTGATTGATTATAAAAATCACAGGTTAGTTGTTATCGGACTGATGGACAAGGCAGGAATGCGCAACTTATAGAGAAGCACGTGAAGATCTGCACCTTTTAGAAAACGATAATCACTGGGATGAAACCATGGATGAAGCTGTGCAGTGCCAGTCACCAGCCAAAATTAGGGATCTTTATGCAACTCTCATATCATCTTGTGGGCTATCTAATGCACATGAATTGTGGGCTATCTAATGCACATAATGTGTGGGGTGAAGATAAAGTAATGGCAATGGTAGGCAAAAAATTAAGCGACTTTGAAATGACAAGCCCTCAGCGAACAACCAGTATAGCCGCCACGCTGCTAAGCGGGGGCCGCACTGCACATTCTGTTTTAAAACTCCCTCTAAATCTAACCCAGGAAGAATCGCCGATCTGCAACTTTAGAAAAAATAGTGCACAGGCGCCAGGTATAATGCTACGACAATGCAAACTTTTAGTGTGGAACGAAAGTACAATGTCGCATAAAAAAGCTGTAATGGGAGGAATGGTGGTTTTACTGGCTGGTGACTTTCGCCAAATTTTACCTGTCATTCAATAGGGCACACCTGCAGATGAAATTAAAGCATGCCGCAAGCCGTCTATTTTATGGAACAAGGTGACAAAATTCAGTTTAACTACGAATATGAGAGTGCATTTGTATAATGATATCAATGTTGGAAACTATGCTGACACACTATTAAAAATTGGCGATGGGCGGTTGGAAACGGATGCTGAGGGCTGCGTTAAATTGACGAGAGATTTAATTAATTTAGTACAGAGTCATTCCGAATAAATTGCGAGCGTTTATTCGGATTTAACGAACAACATGCATGAAGATAAAAGGTTATGTGAAATGGCGATTCTTGCACTAAAAAATGAGAGCGTTAACAAAATAAATTCAGATATATTAAGCGAAGTAGCAGGAGAAATAACAGAGTATTTGTCAGTAGATACAGTTATGGACACAGAACAGAGCACTTCTTATCCCGCAGAGTTTCTAAATTCTCTAGAGTTGTCAGGTGTGCCCTCACATAATCTTCAATTAAAATTAGGCGTCCCAGTCATGCTAATGCGAAATTTAGATGCTCCTCGGTTATGTAACGGGACAAGGCTGCGTGTGACACATCTTGGACGGAACATAATCGGTGCTACAATTTTGACAGGCGTAGGAAAAGGTGAAAATGTTATTATACCACGGATCCCTATAATTCCCACAGATCTTCCTTTTCAATTCAAAAGGTTGCTGTTCCCTATTAAGCTCAGTTTTGCAATGACAATTAATAAAGCGCAAGGGCAAACGTTACAGGTAGCGGGGTCAACTTAGAAAAACCGTGCTTCTCTCATGGTCAGCTGTATGTAGCATGTTCGCGTGTGTCAAATGCCCAGAATCTCCACATTCTTTCCCCGAATGGAAAACATATAACATTGTGTACAGTAGCGTCTTAAAATAGTGTTCAGTTAGTTTTTTTTTTTCCAAAATTCCCACAATCAATTAATCAGAATTCCCACAGATCTTCCCTTTCAATTCAAAATTTCCTATTTAGCTCAGTTTCTTTTCAATTCCAAATGCTGCACCTCTGACGGACCTATTAAGCTCAGTTTCCTTTCAACTCAAAACGCTGCATCTCTAACGGATCTTTTATTTGGCTCAGTTTCATTTTAGTTCAGAAAACTGCATCTCTGACGAATCAATTTAGCTCAGATAATTTTCAAAAGTCTGCATCCCTGACGGATAATTATGCTCAGTTTCTTTTATTAAAAAATATCACATTTCCATTTGGAATAAACAGGCTATTTTCATGCTTTTCTATACGCTGCGTTTCAAAACATTTAAATAGGCTGACAAATCAATTTTGCTCAGTTTCCTTTTAATGGCTGCATTTCTGACAAATCTATAAAACTCAGTTTTCTTTCAATTCAAAAAGCAATGGGTAGTTCATTTCCCAGTGACCATGCGGGCGAAGCCGCGGGTAACAGCTAGTTATTATATAATCATTCCGCATGTAGACGCCGGACCTAACACACGTACCCAGCTCAAACTAGTTCGCAATTACTCACTAACGCGATTCTCAAACTTTTTTGTTCACCTTGTTAGCGAGCTATTAAAATTTTGTTAAAACGTTGTGACTTCAGAGATGGGGAGATTTCAGAAATGAGGTGAAGTGTTCCGTTTGCCAAGAACTGTTTGACTTTCCATGCGCTGGATTAACGTAGGCTGGCTACCGTAGGTTAAGCGAGTGTAGAAGAAGTAACTGGAGGTACACATCTTGCAAGGGTACCAAAGCTCTTAGTCCGCTAAACCTACCTTCAAAAAGTACACCTTCTGTTAAGTCTCTTTCACTAGTGGACATGGAGATGACTGCTTCTGAGCTTAAACACATATCTTCACAGATGAACTCACTTCTTACCTTAATAGCTAGCGTAAAGGACATACAAGATGATGTGACCGACATAAAGGCTGATATCGGAGATCTTAAGCTTATGAAGCCGGAGGTGGCTGATATGAAAACCTCCTTGGAATTTGTTCAGTGCTCTGTTGAATCATTGGATAGTAGGAACACATAAAAAAATCAAGAAATCTAGACTTTGCTGAAGACAAAAGATGATGTGTAGTACGTTTCTAGGCCAGGCGGAAAAAAGTACATTGACCTCAAGTATTATGTTGGCATCGAAACAAAACGACAGTTAATGTTTCCATACATTTCTTTATAGATTACGTATGCGTTATGCGCTAAGCGTGTCTCATGGTACGGGGTAGGGTGAAGGAAGCGGTCATTCAGAGATAATAAACCTGTTTCGACGCGATTTGCGATAGGTCTCACGCCGTGCGTATTTTAGAAAGCGGATGGAGCAGAACTCATTCCTCATTCTAATTTGGGATGCGCTTACGTGTAGATAGTTTGAGATTTAAAATTTCCGGTATAGTTGTTATTTTAATTTTTATTAAGTTTGTTTTGTTAGTTGTATTATTACGTTTTTAATTAAAGTTTTTGTTATTGTTTTGTGACGTTTTGTATATTATCACTAGTATGAAATCGAGTCCATCGACATGAAAATCTCATAAAGACTTTACGTCACCACGAAAGAAGCGGAAAGTGTCGCATATTTCGGAAACCGAAAAAATAATGATTGTAAACATCTATAAGTATGTAAAAAAACGTGGTCTAGTGACGTATATCCATCCAAAATGAATATGAAAAAGAAGACTGCCGATATTTTAGGTTATAATCAATCTGATGGACTCTTCTACGTCTTCATCGTCATAAAATGATTCTCAATAGATACAGATGAATAGTCTGTCAAGTGTCTCTGACAATCAATTATGAGAAGTTTTATGAATGCTTCAAGGTTGGCTGCTTAACAATGCTTAGCCTAAAAGTTCGTCTTTTTACCTGACTACCAAGAAGTGGTTATGTTTTATACAACTACCTACCTACCTACCTACTTATTAAAGTACTTACCTACTATTAACGTAATAATGAAAATTGTAATGACTCATGATTTATAAATAATAAACTTAAATTCATATTAATTCGCTTTTTAATTAATTTAGGTACAGGATAATCTTCTTTATTTATTAATAATAATAATAGACATAGGGCCTCTAAAGAACTTCGCACTCGGCAATCTCATCTTTCACTCTGATGATGTATGTAATGATAAAAAGGATAAAAAATGAACCTGAACAAAAAAAGATTGCCTACCCCGATGATATCGTCGAAGGGCAATGTACTTTTCTCCGCCTGCCCTAGAAACGTACTATAGTTCAATTGAACCAACCTTCTGATAATTTTGAAGACTCCATGCGGGAATTTGATTAAATTAATTCACACGAGTATGTATAACATCGAAAGGAGTACCGATTTCTCTATCAGAAAAACTTTTCGAGATTTTTAGTAAGCTCGGAAAAAATATCAATTGTGTCATCCCTAAAAGTCAAATAAATTATATTGCGAGGATTCCTATGCGCAACGATAAACTAAACAAAAAAATTATCATCTCAGTGCATAATAGATATCTTAAGGAGGACTTCGTAGCCGTAGCGAAGAAGCGCACCATTGTTCCAGCGGACCTGGGTTTTAGAGGTGACAATTGAATCTATGTTAATGACCATCTTACTCGGGAAAATAAGATTTGCTAAATAAAGCCTTAAAACTAGCCAAGGAGCGGGGGTTTGCTTATGTTTGGGTAAAGGGATGCAAAATATTTGCAAGAAAAAACCCAACGTCTCATATAATTACAATAAAATCGGACTCCAATTTAAAAAAGTATTCCTAGTCACCATAATTAGCGCTTTGATGTTGTTAAAATCATTTTCCTCTTTTATCTGTTTTAGTAAGTTTGAGAAACGCTTGCTCTCTAACATTTAAGTTTGTTTACCTGCTTAATGTCGTTATGCATTCACGTACTCCCGTTGCACACTTGTTTACTCAATCAATTTATATCGCTCCACCGCCTATTTGCTTTTGCATTTACGAAGCCGTAGGTGTGACACCAACTGATCCTAAAGAATTGTTTAAAATGATCGTCTTTACCCTGTGATCGATACAATTAAAAGTGCATTGGTTACTTGACTTAAACTATCAAAATTCTATGATACGTGTTCATTTTTATATAAAATGAAAATAATTCCTGAAAGGTTAAAAAACCTGTGTTGATTTGTAAATCAGTTGAACAGATGGTCGTAATGTGATCTGTGTAGTTGTAAATTGGTTCAGGAGCCTATTAGCTTGATTTGATTTTGATTGATGAACCCATTATTCTATAAGATCTCACACCACCTAAAAATTTTGATAGGGTCGCCACTGCTTGCGTACTATCGATATCGAAAATGTTAGCGATTACCAGTTATAAAATATTTGCGATTATTTTTGTAGTTTTAAAAATATTGTTGTACAATATTTGCAAATAGTGTGCAAATATTTATTATTTTGTAAATTATTTTTAGACTATTTAAAATAGCGTAAAGTTGTAAATATTTTGTTATTTTCTACAAGATTGTTTTTTTTTTGCAAATAATAGCATTCGATAATAGGGATAACATAGAGGCAATACCTCTATGTTATCCCTATTATCGATGGCTATGTTATAGTATAGTTTAAACAGCAATTACAAATACAAAAATACAAATAAAACATTTTTTATTTCTTTAACTAAGTGTACATAAAATAAAATACAGAATATTATTTAGAGCCAATCAAAACCTAACGATGATATATAAAAATATCGTTCCGCTTTCGTGGAGACTTTGATGTGTAGTTATAATGTCGACATTTGACATTTTACATATTAAAATGCCATAATAAAATTTTCATTTTACTGCTGACATGCGCAGTGGACGCTATTTAATTTCATGATTCGTGGTGTGACCATTGGCTGGTTATCACTGAATTGATGTTTTATGAAAATACATCGTTAAATCGAGTATCGAAAACTTTCCAAAATATCGGATCGATTCGATGCATCATATTGTTAACAGCGAAAGAATTCGATGCATTGATGTATATCGAATATCCCTACTACTGTGTGTTTATTAATAATTTATCTATGGAAAGTGTGCCAGACGTAGACAGAGAAAAGTATAGACGAATTGACGCCTTCTTTCACATTCGCACACGAAAAAGATAGATTTATGCATACGTCTTGCATAGAAATGAGACAGAGAGGTGTGATTGTTTGTCCCTTTCTCCGTGCCGGTTTTTTGTTTAGCAAAGTGTAGTTTGCTAAGCAACTTTGACAGTTCGTAGGGATCTAAGGAGTTTACAAGTTGGTTTAAGTGACTAGAGTGATAGAAAGTGTTTTGGGAGCTTAAGATTGGTGAATATTGTTCAGTTCAGTTCTTAGAACAATAAATTTTTTATGTAAATATGTTTAAAAGTCATGAAGATTATTGTATAACTTAAAACTACGTTATCGTTCTTTCTCACTCGAGGCCACGCTAATCATTAGTCTATAGTTTTCTCTGTCTACGGTGCCAGACTTTTAATTTAGGAGTTTTGGCGGGAACTTGTCCGACGACGGACTGTCGCTCTTGTTTTGTCGTTTGAATAGTGGTTTGAAGTGGATTTTAATTCGTAAAAGTGATGTAATTTTGTGAATTAAGTGTCTGCGCGTGTGAACTATTAGAGAAAACGACGAAACAAGTGCTTTGATATTGATATATACCTCAAGTTAATTTGATCGCTTGGGCGCCTTATGAATTTGAGTGGCTGTCGTTATCAACAGTCCGCTGGGTTGAGCTGTCATTAAAATCGCCCAAAATTTTCGTAATGTGACGCACCAGCATATTGTGATGAAAAAATATATAAAATGAAGTTTCTGAATGAAATGATAGGCTCAGAAGGGCTAGTACCCAGAGCTGTAAAGCCAGTTAAATAAAAAAAACTTTAGTCTTTCAATGTACCCAATGTACTTTTTGTTCTTTCAGGTATCAAATCATAGATAAATAAATATGT